GGCTCCATCCTATCACTTCAACTCCATATTATTCCAGACAATGGAACAATACTCTTCTCCAGACTGAGGGACTGACCACCTCAAAACTTTAAGGGTGATGGACTGATTACATCGTCTTCAAGTCTCTTCTGCTTCTATCAACTTTGCTGTACTCGACTGAAGAAGCCTACTGTGTAGGCGAAACGTTTCGAAATAAAGATACCTAACTGTTGCATATGTGTCTTACCTAAACACCCAGGTACCTGCTTACAGTTGTACGAACTGACGTCTCATTGTGCATATTCCCCATTTATTGACTTCCTCAACATTTCGGAATAATGTATACAGAACCCGAACGTAGGAGACTGAAGCTTATGACGACATTTCGGTCCTATTTGGACCAACTTATTGCGTGTTATGTTTTCCCACATTAGTACCAACGTTCACATGACCAGAACAATAACAAATGTATCAACTGGGAGCTTTTAAAAGATTAAAAGTTACGTTTTAGGTACTGTGGATAAAGTGGGAAGGAAAAGTGGGTGTTAGAAAGGTGGGTGTAAGAAGGGTGGGCGTAGGAAGGGTGGGTGTAAGAAAGGTGGGTGTAAGAAAGATAGGTGTAAGAAGGGTGGGTGTAAGAAAGATGGGTGTTAGAAAGGTGGGTGTAGGAAGGGTGGATGTAGGAAGGGTGGGTGTAAGCAAGGCGGGTGTAAAAAAGGTAGGTGTAAGAAGGGTGGGTGTAAGAAGGGTGGGTGTAGGAAAGAAGAGTGTGGAACAGATGCGGGAAGGGACTTTCTAGGGAAAGAAAGAAAGGAAGGTATCTAGAAAGAGAGCAATTTGGGGAAGTGAGAGAGGGGGCGGGGATGTTGGGTGTAGGAGAGAGTGTAGGGGAAGGCTGGTGTGGCAGAGGGTGGGTGTAAGTTAGAAGGCAGTGGTGTATGAACACTGATATTCACACTTTCAGAACTCAAGTCCGGCTTACCTTTTACCAAGAATTCCTCCGTAAATATTATCACCTTCACACTCCAACAATATGTCAACTTACAAAAGCAGTTTCCTTCCACTCACTCCGATCGAACACACTAACGAGTGCTTGCATGCTCAAGCTCCCGTCTCCTCAAGCTTCCTTCACACACTCCTTTCAACCCTTCCTAGGACGTCTCCGACACCTCGTTCCATGCTCTTCTTGTTTATGACAGGATATAGACATGTAAATAGTTCATTACCACTGTAACGTGTTCGGTTATCAAAATTTTGCGGTCCATTCCCTGGACCCATTATGTACCTCTGTAATCCTTTGACTACGGCCCACAGGATGGGTAATGATAAAGATGTTAAACTAAACGAACACTCTCTTGATCAACCTCTCTTCTTCCTTTCCATCTAAATAACTATAGCATCTCAATAACCCATCTTTCACTCCTTAAAATATAATAATGATATCTTTCGTACCTCTACACCATCAATTTTATTCACTCCATTATCTCTACACAATATTTACACTACACATTAACTTTCACTGCCTCTAGTTTCCTCTACACCAATTCAAGAACTCTGTCACTCACCCATACAAAAGCGTTGCCATCACCATTCTAATATATTACCAATTTTTTCCACCCAATGACACACTTCTTTATTGACAAACTTCTCACCAACCAAGCCGCCCTTTTCCCCTCATCTATTCCGTGATACACCTCAGCTATCATAGACGCATTTGCCGACGTATTCACTTCACAAAATATATTCACTTCCTCAATGCTCCCTGCCACCATACGGACGTAGAATCTTTCACTGTCTACGTTTCTTGCTCTCGCTACTTCGCTCCTTCTTGTTTTCGCTTTAAACTTCCCTTCTTTACACACTCCTTCACAGTTATCCACCTGCCAATTTGGATTCAGGAAAAATAAAAGCACTAATGATGCAATCATAAAAATGCTAGATCTGCTTTACACAGCATTGGAAAATAAGGAATATCCACTAGGAATTTTTATTGACTTAAGAAAAGCTTTTGACACAGTAGACCACGACATCCTACTCCACAAACTTGATCATTACGGCATAAGAGGCCATGCGCTTGCTTATTTCAAATCTTACATTACTAATAGGTATCAGTATGTCACCATTAAAGACACAGCATCAGCAACACGGCCACTTGATACTGGAGTTCCGCAGGGAAGTGTCCTTGGTCCCCTGCTCTTCCTCATATACATCAATGACCTTCCAAACGTATCCCAACACCTGAAACCCATTCTCTTTGCTGATGACACGACTTATGTCATCTCTCACCCTAATCTTGCCACCCTCAACACCATTGTTAACGAGGAGCTGCTCAAAATATCGACTTGGATGACAACCAATAAACTTACACTTAACACTGGCAAAACCTACTATATTATGTTTGGTAGCAGAGCAGGTGTTGCGCAACTTAACATTAAGATCGACAACACTCTAATTACCAGAAATAATGGGGGCAAATTCCTAGGCTTATACCTTGACAACAACCTGAATTTCAGCACCCATATCCAGCATATAACCAAAAAAGTATCCAAAACGGTTGAGATCCTCTCCAAGATACGATACTACGTGCCGCAAATTGCCCTTCTCACACTATACCACTCACTTATTTATCCATACCTCACCTATGCTATTTGTGCTTGGGGATCAACTGCAGCAACTCACCTAAAGCCAATAATAACCCAACAAAAAGCTGCAGTAAGAATAATCACTAAATCCCATCCCTGGCAACACACCCCCCCACTCTTCATAGACCTAAACTTACTCCCAGTTCAGTACATCCACACTTACTACTGTGCAATCTACATCTACAGGACCTTAAACTCCAATATCAACCTTGACCTAAAACGCTTTCTTGATAGTTGTGACAGAACCCACAGGCATAACACCAGACACAAACATCTCTACGACATTCCCCGTGTCCGACTAAACCTTTACAAAAATTCAATGTATGTCAAAGGCCCTAAAATCTGGAATACCCTACCTGAGAACTCTAGAACTGCAGACACATTCATCACCTTCAAAACTACCATTAGAAAACATCTTATCTCCCTGATACACCCCATCAACTAACTACACGAATACCACCTGGTGGTTCACACTTACACTCACTCACTCATTTGACCATAAACAGAAATATTAATCTCAATCTTAAAATAATAAATCCTGTGATACTCCAATACTGAAACTATGTACTGTGCCAAAACAAAAGCATTCACATTGCTAAACTCACAAACTAGTATTTAGTCACTTAGCCATAATACCAACTTACCTCATAATTTGTAATATTTTACAATTAAGAATAAAACTAAGTCTGCCCGAAATGCCTAGCCATGCTAAGCGTTCTAGTGGTACACTCTGTAATCACAGTTTTACTACATGTAAACCACACAATAACCAAATTTCTGTAAACTCAACATTGTAATCCTATAGAGAATAAACTTTGAATTGAATTGAATTGAATAGATAATGTAGCTTCTCTCCTAAATCTTCCAAAATCACTGCACGATAAGCACGAATCTTATCAATCTATAACCGCTCCCGCTGGACCCATGAGTAACACTAATGTTAGTTTTAAAGTAGGTCTGCCTCATATGCTGTGCATATTATAATATTTCAAATACTGTGTATGTTTGTACCTTAATTTGAAATGAAGTCTTTATCATTATCATTCTTACTACTCGTCCTATCATAATCCCACTGGTTTCATACCTCCTCCATATTCACTTCTGGCTTTTCCTTCCTGTTAACAAATTTTATTCCTGCCTGCCTTAGGCAGGAAGCCTCCACCTCCTCTTCGTCACCAACGTTCATCAGCTCCAATTGTTAGCATATGAACAGTGGAGCTCTGAAGTAGTTCAACTGACCCTGGGAAGTAGGCCTACTGTAGTGCTCCTGCGCTTATGATCAGTGCCTCAGCCTCCATTCCACCATCTCAGCACTTGTACTCTCAGCTGCCAACTTCATTTACTCCCTATTAGCTCTCATTTATCTCTCAAGAAATGTCTTCGTTTCAGTAAAATTTGTCAATAATGACTCACTATTTACCCAACTGTACTTCCTCGTCACTCTTATAACCTCTTCTTATAACCTTCTTCTTGAATGAAGAAGCCAGTCGTAGTGAAGGTCTTCTCCAGTAACTGTCATGAACTGTGTCTAGGTGCCTACATTTACATTGTTGGTATCACCCTTCCAGTCCTCCAGCCACATATTGACTGTTACCAAACTTCTTTCTAAACGCAGTTCTGTTAACTACCATCCATTGTTTTTCACCCCTTGCATTGGAAACTTGCCTACCAGACGCTCTACTGCAATCTCTACCACCGTAGCTTACAGGTGTCTCAAAATATTTAATCTGATTTGGCTCAGACTCCCCTAAACTTTCAGTCAGCATCTCCCCTAAGTCTCTTTCTATCATGTCTCCCCCACAGGATGGACATGGATGTCTCTCCCCCACAGGATGGACATGGAATGTCTCTCACCCACAAGATGGGCACGGAGTGACTACCACACACAGGATGGAAGACAACTCTTCAAGTTATCGTAGCTACCAGACTCATGGTTGAATATTGTTGATATTGCATCACCCCAGGCAATTTTCCCACTCCCCTGGAACATTCTTTACCCGTATATTTTACAACAACCCCGTCGGGAAAACGCAAACAAAGGAAGAACTAACAAATTTTTCCCCACACTATTTTTAAAAAAAAATTGTCTCACACACTGGGTGTAACTGTCTTTTTATCCCACAAAAAGTTGTACCACAAGAGAATTTTCCCAAATTTTTATTGAGTTATAGAGTCACTTTTGCTCTCCACACAGGATGTACCTGAGAGACTACACCTCTAGGTGGAACTCCAGCGTATTAGAAAGGCTTTAAACCCCTGTTAACCAGCCAACCATCTCTACTATCATCACCTTTGCCCACCAGCTTCCTCTCCTTACTTGCTAACTCTCTCACCTGTCTCCCCTCGCCCCACTTCCCCCACCTGTCTCTCCCCACTCACCAGCTTCTCCCCACCAGCCATGGGAGACACTAGAAGAGTCTCGTTGCCCAGTTGGATGATGCCAGCCAGGCCATTGCAGGTCCTGAAGGCAGCGATGGCACCAGAGTAGTCCTTGACGGTGCCATGGTAGTAACAGTGCTCGATCTGTGGAGGAAGGAACGGTAGTGTGTTAGTGCCTCTGTCTGGGTAATTACGTAATTACGGGTTAGTTATTAACGGGTTGGAATCTATGGCAAGAAAGTGCTAAAAGTAGCTGGCCGATGCGCTGTCCACTTTACAATGCTTAGGCTTAGTATTAGGCCAGCATGGTACAGTGGTACAGGTGGCCCATGCTTAGGCTTAGTATTAGGCCAGCATGGTACAGTGGTACAGTGGTACAGTGGTACAGGTGGCCCAACTTAATCAGAAAACATTTAAAATTTGTTTCCTGTAATGTTTGGTTATATTTGTTTAGTTCGATGTATGAGCATGGACCAAACTGTTGTACAGGGATGGACAAGACTTTTGATACATGAGGGACCAGACTGTAAATACAGTGATGGACCAATTTTTTTGATACAGTGATGGACAAGACTTTTTGAAACAGTGAATGGACAAGATTTGTTGATACAGGGGATGGACCAATTTTGATACGTGATGGACCAGATTTGTTGATACAGGGAGGGACAAGACTTTGATACAGTGATGGACCAGCTGTTGAACATGATTGACAAGACTGTTGATACATGATGGAAAAGACTTGTTATACGTGATGGACAAGACTTGTTGATACAGTGAAGGACCAACCTTGTTGTCAGTGATGACCAGACTTGTCGATAAAAGTGATGGACCAGACTTGTTGACACAGTGGATGGGACCAGACTTGTGGCACAGTGATGGACCAGACTTGTTGACACAGTGATGGCCAGACTTGTTGACACAGTGATGGCCCAGACTTTTGACAAGTGATGGACCAGACTTGTTTGGACACAGTGAATTGGCCAGACTTGTTGACACCGTGATGGACCAGACTTGTTGACACAGTGATGGCCAGACTTGTTGAAACAGTGATGACAGACCTTGTTTGATACAGTGATGGACAAGACTTGTTGATACAGTGATGGACCAGACTTGTTGATACAGTGATGGACCAGACTTGTTGATACAGTGATGGACCAGACTTGTTGATACAGTGATGGACCAGACTTGTTGACACAGTGATGGACCAGGCTTGTTGACACAATGATGGACCAGACTTGTTGACACAGTGATGGACCAGACTTGTTGACACAATGATGGACAGACTTGTTGACACAGTGATGGCCCAGACTTGCTGACACATGTGGACCAGACTTGTTGACACAGTGATGGACCAGACTTGCTGACACAGTGATGGACCAGACTTGCTGACACAGTGATGGACCAGACTTGTTGACACAGTGATGGACCAGACTTGTTGACACAGTGATGGACCAGACTTGCTGACACAATGATGGACCAGACTTGTTGACACAGTGATGGACCAGACTTGCTGACACAGTGATGGACCAGACTTGTTGACACAGTGATGGACCAGACTTGCTGACACAGTGTTCTCTCTAAATCATCGGTAGAATACACCTAGAAGTACGTGAATAAGACATAATTTGAGCTCTATGGCATCTTATATCAATGACGTTTGGCCCACCAGGGTTTTTATAAGTTCATTCAGTTCATTCACCATTCCCTTGTGGGAAAAAACGTCTTCTAATCAGTATGTCATAGGCCTCACATTGTGTCGAAATCACATTCTCTAAGAGAGTCAAGGCCTCTCAACACGTCACTGGATTTAATATACACTTCCTTAAGTATTTCTCCTATAAGCATTGTAATCCTTATAGAGAATATAGAGAATAATCTGAGGTAGTGAGCTGACGTGAGACCAACTTCTCAATTACCTTCCTTGTATCTGTTACCAAATACAGATATCTCTTTCTTCTTTCCAGAAGGTATGTTTCAAGTCCTTTAAGGAGTTCCCCAATGACCGAGCGGACAGTAAACCATCTCTGCACATTTTCCATCTCTGTTATCTTGCCATTTTTTTACAAGGGGCTGTGAGAGGGTGACCAAGTACTGGACGGGAGAGGCAGGAGAAATATGAGAAGGCTCACCATTTGTCCGACTCTTCTAAGTTTTAATAAAGTTGGTAGAATTACCGACATATGTAAAGTAAAGGACATGTCAACTAATGTGCTTTTATTGTGGCAACGTTTCGCTTCCAGGGGGCTTGATAAAGCTCCTGAGAGCGAAACGTTGCCACAATAAAGTCACATTAGTTGCATTGTGTCCTTTATCCCTTTTTATTTGCCAAATCCAGCTGTCATTTACCGCTGGATGATTTATTTTTGTAAATGTTGGGAGAATTACCGACCAATATTTAGGTAAAGGGACACAAGTGTAACTAATTTACTTTCATTGTGGCAACGTTTTGCTCTCGTGGAAAATGAAAACTTTGCACAATAAAATGGGCCCCATTAGTCATTAGTTGCACAGTGTTCTTTAAATTTAAAATGACTATTTTTACGGGGTTTCGTATATGTTTATCCTTGGGCTGGCTATGTATGTTCCGGTCTGGATTTTTCAAATATTTAGTTGGCAGAGTGGGTCACGGTTTGAAATGTTATTTTCCCCTAGTCAGCGGCAGAATCTGTTCAAGTCTCTTGAAATTCACCGACTTCAAAGACCATTTTTTCAATATATTTTGTAACAGCAAAGCTGTGGCTAGTGTGCTCATGCCAGTATGAGAGTGGTAAAGGTGTAGGAATTTAGATTTTCCAACCTGCAGGAAATACATGTGGAGAGAGAGGTATAACAGTAGATGAGAGAAGGGTGACACTAGGTAACGCAAACGAATGCACACACCCAGAGAGACATAAACAAGCACACAGCCGGAGCTGAACTCGACAAAATGCAACACACATATGTTTGGTAGTAAACACACACGGAAGAAATGTCCATAGCTGCGGTGGTCACCTGGAGCAGACAGGTGAGGTCCCGCTAACACTTTCTTAAATAAGGACAAAATATGGCGTTTATTTTTGTTGAGGAAACAACGACCTTACATCAGGGTGTTGAGGAGAGAGAGAGAGAATTGACGATTTCAACATAATGCTACTTCGCAAATCATCCCCAATATCTTAACAATCCTTCAGGGCAGTGTCCGGTAAATTTCCTCTCTTCCAAGGGAAGGAGAAACCCTTTATCTCCTGAAGGGCTCTTGATCCAAGGAAATGGAACTACCGTCTCCTTCCCCGAATCATACCTCATTGTTCCCATTCCCACGTGTTGGTGGGTCTCACGGAGTTACCGTTTTCCCCCCCAAACCAACATAAAATATGGGGGTGAGGAAAACGATGCAGTTTTGAACTGAAGTATCGGCACGTCTCTGGCAAGACAGTGTGGGTATGTGATGATGGGAAGTGTTTCTTCTACCGGAAAAAGGAATTATTTTACAATTTTCTATGGATGCCAAACACACATTGGATTACTCCTTCATATAAGTTGATTAAGTTTGCCAAGAAAAACAAACCCTTTAAGGAGAATTAGAATATAACTTTGGTATATCTTTTGTTAGATTAGGTTAATATTAAAGAGTAAAATAATGGAATTGAATGTTAATAGGAATGAAATTAGAAGCCCTGATAGATCTTAACCACTATATACGATGATTGAGATAAGTTTTGTTTATGGAGCAACTTGAATGTGAACACTGATGATGTTGTAGTGGGCCAGGCTAGGCTGGTTACAAGTATTCTGCAGTTTGGGAGACACACAAAGATGACAAAATAAATGTATATTTGGCCAGCCTCTGGTCACTATCTTTAAACAAGGCTGAATTGTCCACTTATTGAGGAAAAATAAGATAGCAGTATAACTACTGACGTGTAAGATACTTATAATGAAAAAAAGATACTAGATATATTAAGCAAAGTTCTAAATTTGCTTTAACAGCAATGAGCTAAAAGATATAAATCCAGATGTATTCTTTAACCCTTTTGGTCCAGTTCCGGGCCTTTTGTTATCATTGCTCTTGTGCTACCGTCCCCTGGATGGAATGGGTTACCTGGAGTTATTTTTCCCGGGGTCAACGCCCCCGCGCCGCCATGACCAGGCCTCCCCAATGATCAGGGCCGATCAACTAGGGCTGTATGCTGGCCGCACCAGTCCAACGTACGAGCCACAGCCCCCGGGTGATCCGGCACTGACTTAGGTATCTGTCCGCCTCGCTTGAAGGCACCGGGTTTTTTGGCAAAATTCCCCCAATGCTTGATGGGAGGTGTTGAACATTTTGGGCCCCGGACACTTATGTGTTTTCCCTTAGTGTACCAATGGCGCCCCTACTTTTTATTGGGGGCATTTTGCATCGCCACTTCGGTGGCAAAATCTATCTAAATCTTTTTCGGGTCACCTTGCCTAGGTAAAAAACGACCGATTTGGGTTTAAAAAAGATGATAATATTAATAATAATAATTATAATAATAATAATTTCTTTCTTTATCCGCCTCTATTGTTTCTCACCGTCCCTTCTTTCCAGTCTTCCTCTTCCTGTTTACTCTCTCTCCCCTTCCTCAGACTCTCACTCTCTCCCTGCAGGCATAATTAACTGATAAACTACTCTCCTGCGTTGTTCGCTAATTACTCATGATTAAGACGAGCAAACAAGCTCTCCTCTCTTTTTTAATTGGTGGTTAATGAGGGTGTTGACCAGTCAGGGTCCACCTGGGCTGCGTCTCAGGTCAAGTGAGCGGTAAAGTGACACCAATGTCTGAAAGGATTATCTTAGTCTATCCTGGCTCCTGGGACCTCTCTCTATGTCTTACTGGAGATGCACATCTCTATGCCTCTCTCTCTCTCTCTCTCTCTCTCTCTCTCTCTCTCTCTCTCTCTCTCTCTCTCTCTCTCTCTCTCATATATATATATGCAATAAGATCACAGTAAACAGGTGATATCATAATATGCAGAACAACCACTGTGAAAAAATAGTGAAATTCCAAGCGCTTTCGTCACTTCTCAGTTTATCAAGGATAATGTGAGAAGTCACGGAAACGCTTGGAACTTCGCTATTTTTTCACAGTAGTTGTTCTGTATATTATTCTTTGTTTTGTTGTGTGTGTGTGTGTGTGTGT